ATACTAATGAGCTCAAATCCAGCCTCCGGGTAAGCGTGGTACCCGCTTACAGGCCCTCCAAAATTTTCCCCGCGCAAATTCATAACTCGGGGTTCTGAGATGCTGGAAAGCTGAAATTTTAGCGGGGATGTTTCCAGACAGTTCTGGCGGCCAGTCTGAAATTCTTTCAGCTAGAAGCATTTGCCGAAAAAACCGACGGCGGTAGCGACAAAAACTGCGGGGAACTCTGCAAAAAACGCATCTTCGCACGGAGAGCCTGTGCGTTGGCCAGTTATTTCTCATTGCGATCACAGTGCGATAACATGAAGCTAAAATCAGGTTAAAACACCTTCTTTATTTCACTCCCCATAAGCGGGGAAAGAATGGCACGTGTCATCTACTGACATTGCCGTCAATCTGCGAGTTGCTTGAGAAGCAAGCTAAAAAACAGTATGACGCCTTGAATTGCATAGCAGTGATCAAGATTGTAATTAGAAGAATTATCTTCTCCACTGAGCAGTTCAAAAAAAAAAACACCTCGAGAATTAGGAGTGCAGTGCACACACCAATGCACCAAGCCGTCAGCTACTAACACAGTGTGCCGCGAGATTCTTATAAAAATTAATGCTTGGCTTGGCTGGCTAATTAGTGCCAAACAGTTATATTGTACAAAAGCAAAAATCGCATGCCTTTGGCGTTAAGTTCATGCTCGTTCACAATAACTCCTGAATTCTTGCCCAGCCTCTCCACTTTCAACGCTGTACTCATCCCTTGCCCTGATCGTCCAAGGCCTGCACCTTCCTACAAAACAGGAAACTTCAGTCATGGCAAAACACCTACATTTCCGATACAAACTGAAACGTGAAGAAGCTTTTAACTCTGATCTGCCAAACCGAACTCTTCGCTCGGTATCACCTCTGCCATCAGCAACCTTATCGTAATGTGTTCAAGTCCGGAATTTTGACGATTTTTATGCCTTGATTCTCATCTAACTTTACCTGAAACGATGAAGCGACCGCATCCACAAACCACAACTTTCTACCAATCCCAGCACTAACAATGAAGAAAAAAACACTTTTTCATTAGACACACACTTAAGCCCATCAAACACGTAGAAAAGCTAGTGATATGAACGGCAACCAGCGGTCCTGTGCAGTCTAAAGAGCAAATACTTCGCATCCCCAAATCAATTAGAAAGTCTGGCACGCACGCAAGCATCGGGATCCTGGAAACTCTGCGTTGTCGTCATTAAACGAGAGAATAAATTCGTCAAGCTTACCTTATAACCAAACTTCGACATGATATTAGCGGCGACACCAAGTCCTTTGCCAGCGCCAAACGAGGGAATGAATGCTGGTGGCGGTAGCATTTCGGAATTCTCTGAACTTCCAGGAGCGGCTACAGCCGACGGATCTACTTTCTCGTCTTCTTCCATGAGATTTTTGGGGGGTGCGACTGCTGCCCCGGCCTCGCGCTTTGCAATTTCCTCTTGATGCTCCCTAAACTGTTCGCCATTAGATTGATAATCAGATTTTTGAATCAAGAAATGCCTCTTAGTGCCATTCGCGGCGCCCTATGTGGGATCCATGAAACTGAAAAATACTGCGTCACTGACTTCTAAAACATCCTTCCCGGCCAGACAAATGAAGGTATTTACGGGAGGAGTGTTGAAGGACCGAAAATGAGAAAAGTTGACATCTTGCTGAGAGAGCAGAGAATGAAACCGGAAGACGCCGAGCAGACACAAGCCTACAGGGACCATCAGATTGTGCAGCACCGATCAAAGCAATAATGGGAAAATCGCTGAGGTCCGCATCAACCGTGCAAATGTGAGGCCGGGCAAAGCGATAATCAAAATACCAGTGTTACTTAAGCAGTTGTGGCTGAATCCGCCGATATTCCTTAATCCGCAAAAGGTGCGCTCAGAAACGAATGCAGCGGAAGGAAAATCGAAGAAAATTACCTGTTTAATCGTTCGGCAATTTCCCTGGCAATTTTCTCTTTCGCTTTCCTCTCGTCCAGCTTCTGCTTTTGCTTGGCATAATCGGATGGAGCTGTCGGATTGTATTCATCCTCCACCAAAATTTCACCAAAAAGAAACACCTGCACATGTAGCAAAAATTTCTTCGTGCAAGACTAACAGGAAAAGCCAAAAAAAAAAAAACAAATGACAATTTATCAATTATCAAATCACCGTCAGCAAGAACAGATTGTAATAAACCTAATCACAACAATTCGTAACTAAGCATGAACTTACCTTCTTTCCACTAAAAACTACAGTAGAAGAAACGTGAGTAAATGAGCGAATTGAAGGGCTAAAATTTCGTATGACACTACTCTGGAAAACTTCGCGTTTGCGTAAATTTAAAAAAAAATTAAATTAAAATTATACTTTGTCTTCTTTTAACGCCTTCGGAATGAAGGAGAGTGGTGGCCCCTCGCCGAGCGGTATTGCTTTATGAGGTCGCAAAAAGGTCGAGCTTGTATTTGCTGCTGCTGAATTTGATGCTGTTGTTGCTGAAGCTGCCGCACGGCTTCTTCCAGATAAATCCACAACAGGCGCAACAACGTTGCGCTGAAAAATAAAAAATAATTGGCCCACGCACGGGCTGCCCGTGTGAAGATGCGTTTTTTGCATGGTTCCCCGCAGTTTTTATTGCTATCAGCACCGGTTTTCCCGGCAAATGCTTCTAGCTAAACAAATTAAGACTGGCCGCCAGAACTGCCAGAAAACATCCCCTTAAAATTTCAGCTTTCTAGCTTCCGTGGCACCTGAGTTAGCAACTTACTGG